CACACACACACACACACACACACACACACACACCACACGCTCGCACTGTCTTCCATTCTCTCCAATACTATAATATATACTATTAGTAATATCATTTCTATTACCGCTTGCTGCTTGCAACGGCGCAACAAATTATTCAATGCAAAGTAAATGATGGCACACTTAATGATTGAAATGAAATTGGAATGGAATTGAATAGAGCAGGGAGAAAAGATCGAATAGGGATGAGATAGGAATAGAAATAGAATTGAATAGAGTAGGGAAAAGATAGAACAGGAATGAGATAGGAATAGGAGAGAAGTATTATTATTATATGAGAAATATAAAAAGAAAGAAATGAATGGAAAAATAGAGATCATTATAATATTTGCTGTTTTTTTTTTTTTTGTTTCAAATTCGTAATGAGTGAAAATGAGCAGAGTTGTACCGCTTTCATGATCGGTTTAAATTTACACTGATTAAATAATCACTAATTAATTAATAGTAATTAATAGATTAAAATTATGACTAAATTGATATCATTATGCCTTCAATCAAGAAAAGACAATGCTTTATCAAATGCTATCATCGATTCAAAATATAAAACAGGTAGACTAATTAGCCGTATTTTCCCAAGCTAATTAACAATTAATACGGGTAAAATATTTTGCTATTTTTCCATCATTTTCTCAAATTAAAGGACAAGAATTAGCAGGATCGAGGGTTTTTAAAATTGAATAAATGGTATGAATTATAGCTGCTAGTAATCATGACTAATAAATTGATTAGAAAAAGTATATTTGATTGCAACTAACCATGATAATCTTATAATAAATTTCTTTCGTTAATTAATCTTAACACTATTTCCAAAAAAATGTTTTTCAATTCAAAATTAAGTTTTAACCGTAAATTTTGAGTTTCAATAAATTTTAAATCAATATTAAGTTTCGGAAAAAAAAATTTTTTTAAAAAAAGTTTGTAAAAAAAATAATATTTGTTACATTTTGAGTTAAATATTACATAAGTTATGACTACGAAAAAATTTTAATCAAATATTTGAACAGAAAAAATGCTAACAGATGAGCAGTCGTGATAAATGTCCTCTTCCTAGTTCAAAAGCTATCATTATCATTTAAAATACTAAAAAATTACAGTTGAAGAAAAAAAATTTTTATAGATGAAACAAAAAATTTCCAATAAAATATCTGTCTGTTAGATTTAATTTTAAAAATTCCTCAAAGTATTATTCCAATAAAACATACAGCAAATAAAGATTAAACAAATAAATTACAAAAAATAAACAAAAAAAAAACTAATATTGAACAGATGCCTAATATTGGCTTTCATTTTGAACAAATAAATAATTAATAGTTGGTGACGACGGTGAAGTGACAGTTTTATCATGCCAAATTGATTTTGGTTGTG